ATCAAAATTCTACTTGCGCTAAACAGTGAGAACTGAACAATTTTTGATTAACCTACAATATTATGGAAGACAATCAACTCAAAAGTTCAAACAATGCAAATAAGACTAAGAATAACTTAAATTGTGTATATATTATGGAAATTGCATGGGTCAGTTAGCGCAGTGTTCGGAATTTACGTATCAAAAGATTTCGAAAGGGCGTAACGACAACGTTAAGTAGGAGAAACGGCCATTAGGACCTAAATAATTTCATATTTTTTCACCACGGTGCCACCAAAATGTACGAATAGGATTAAACAAACAATGACCGAAAAAGAGCTCTAAAAAGAACATTATTATGCATGGTAAATACTATTTAGAATACTATTGTAAAGTTAGGCGAGCTGATAGACGTGTAAAGTCTTCAAATTTCATCATGTTGCCGTCGGACTCTAATTCTCCCTTCTGAGTCGGAATCTCCAAAATGTTCATCCAACAGCTGCTGTAATCCTTCTTGTGTGCAAAGGGGCGATCTTTTTCCTTCTTCAGTGTTGCAGCTAGGGGGTAACACCAAATTGAATTTCCTCGTCTTTTTATCTGTATTACAAACAATGGATGGACTCGCCACTGTCAGGTCATTTGAATTTCTTATACATATAGTTTAATTGGATATCAAAAAACTAATTCTAGATAACTTTTCGCCAGTTGAATTCAATTTATTTCATATTGCTCAAATGTAACTAACTATTACAAAAAAATATGATTCACAGAACAGATCAAAATAGCAATTTTTGAATTAGTGGTCATTTGGAGCACTTGCACTCTTTACTGGCTTCTCCTATTCACTGTGTATACTATCTACGTCGGATAAATAGTCAATAAATAATGTTAGATCATAAATATATACGTATACATATAATGTAATGCCAGTTTCATTTTTAAAGTGATATAGAAGTAAACAAACTCACCTATATCAACTCCCATTGAGCCCACAACAAAGCAGCATATCAATATAACAAGAACAATTCTCATGGTATAGTTTACGTCCGAACAACTCTATAACATAAAACGAATGTGGCACTCGACTGTTGAAATTCCCAATATCATAAGAGATAAATGCCAACCTACCACGATCTCAAAATCCTGTCTTTATTTGGAGCCATGAACTGTGACGAAGGCGTTCAAGCTAGTCCATGCGTTAAGTCAATATTCAGCTTTCCGCGTCGATATTTATAGCGCCGGGATTTACATTCAACGTATAGGCTATATATTCCTTATAAAACGACCCAAATAATGAAATAATGTTATATATATACATCAAACCACTAGTCGTTATATGCCAGAGAATAAAGGTATATATATATCTTGTGCGAGCGTGCCCCGTTTTGTGATATTCGCAAAAACAATGGTTTCGGCTACGACGTAGCACTCTATAAATACGAAGTAAATTCCAAACGAGCGATTCTTCAACTTTCTACACTGGCGTACCGATTATATTGAATACAATGTAGCCTACTCACGAATGCACTTTTAAAATTACCTGGGCAGGTACTTCAGGGAGGTTTTACGTAAAATTCGAAAACTATTTTAACACGTGCGACGCCAGCGCGTTGCACAAGTTTTCCAACTATGTGCTGATTTTCGAAATAACACTTTAAATGCTTTCATATTTGTAAAACTGTAAATTCTGAGTCAGAATGTAGCTGATAATAAGAAAACGACATCAATGTTCAGTAGCCAAATGCGACATGGCTTGAATAAATCAAACATCAAGTTATGAGTGTATGTTTTAGTTTAAAATGCGCATTTTGGACTTGCAAAACTAGGCGGACCGGGGGCATACAGGGCCACGTGCTGTGTCGATATTTCCTGTGCGCGAACACTCCTATAGCACCGTCCAATTATATTCTTCATAAACGACAGAATAACTCGATTAGGGTTCAGTGCAAATAACATACGTTTCATTTGGGATGTAGCCTATCTCGGAGAAAGGATGGATGTCTTCATGTCGGTTTCGTTTTAGATTTCAGAGAGAGAGAGAATTTATTTTATTCGTCAAACCATAAACAATATATGCAAACATATATAAATATAAATAAATGAAAAAAAAAACAGATGCTTAGGTGTATGACTGGGAGACAACGATACGACCTTTAGGGGTCATCAGAGTCAGTTGCCACCCAATTCAATTCAATAAGTATAAAAATAACAGGTTCGATGTCAATATATCAATACGGTACATTCTCGTGTTTGTTTACTACGGTATATACAATATTTACATGTTTTTTTTTCGTTATCAAAGCGAAACTATGGCACCGGTATACCATTCTTTTAACTAACCGAATTCGCCACATATAGAATTTGAATTTCAAAATATAAAAATGATCGAAACGAAATAGATTGGATCTCAGGTGTTCAAAAATAGAAATTATTTGGATAACTTGTATACTTATGGGTGAAGGTAAGTTCATACAGAACTTGCAGGAATTTGATCATGGGTGGAGTTCAATTCTAATATACACATACTGCTTCAGCGTTTTCCGACCCGGGTGGAATTCAGTCCACTCCAGGGGACTTTTGTTGTTTGCGGGAGGAATATTACTTTGAATTCTGTATTATTGATATTGTTCATTCATTTAATACATATTTTTGCATAAATTGTAAACTATTCCGACTGTGCAAAATTCTGAGTTAGAGTTGTGTGCAACACTAGCGGATAATCTTCTATTTCAGGGGTGACGAACCTATTTGCTATCGCGGGCAATTTTATCAGTAAGCGGCCCACACAACTTTTTATTCATAATATGATATATATATATCTGTTAATTTTCATTAGCAAAAACAAACAACTCCATCCATACAGATGAAGTTATTAAGAATATATTGCAGCATAAAATAAAAATAAACATTTAATGAATATTTTGTTCAGTGACATTTTTAGCGCTTTATATTAGGACGAACTGACGATTTGGAACGTCTAAACTGCGTACTAAGATTTTCGTCTGTCAGTCTTGAGCTGTATCGATTAAGTTCAGTTTCGGTTGGCGTCATCTCACTCTGCTACGAGCTCTGCTCGGCTCGGGTGTTCGAGATCTGAATTTCTGTTCGAATACCGCATTATTTTTTATTCGAATTTTTTTGGTCGACTACTGGGGTATGACTGTACAATCAATAAAATAAATTGTAGTCTTCGATATTTTATTGCAGAATTAGGGATTTCTCCAACATTGATATCTTGGTTATGTTATGTTATCGGGTAATGATTTTGCTGCTACGCAAAGTATTCAATTGATCAATGCGAGTCTATTCATAATGTCTTGCTTTATTAATTTGAATTTGTGCGCTTAATATAACCTGCGGCTGCGTCGACAAAATGAGAACATTACTATGAAATATCACGACAATCCACGGCCATAAAAAAGTGTTTAAAATGCCTGATTATATTTCGTTTTGTTTCGTATTTTTACGTTGTTACGAATTATACAAATTTGATATGTTCTTACAACACTGACTCCGCTCTATCGCAATGCTACTACCGAAGATTATTTTCATATAAAACCTTATCCGTCAAAAAGTGGGCTCTTTCCACAAGCGGCCTACGTAATTGCGGCGATAGTTTCATAGACATTTTCAGATTCCTTCAAATCCCCTCTATCCCCTTTTTTTGGTAATTTTGACTGCATCCTCAAACGTATTTCAATCTACGTCTGATCGAACCCTTTATGACATTAATATATATGCAAAATTCTAGTTAATAAAGCTTCAGATAAGACATGCTTCCGAAAAACAAATAACTAACTAATCCCATACCCGACATGGAATGGTAACCGGACGAGGGGCCGTGGTTCGCCATATGGTTAAGCCGCCTTATCGGCGTTTCTCTCCCTCGGGATAAATATGTAAATCCTATCCGGTATATATATCCGGGATCTTTCGTACGAACCGTATGACCCCGCCATATAAACACCACCACCTCCCTTCAAAAGAGAAAAAATAGAAATAATCCAGTTACGGTTTTAGGACTAGGAATGCAGATTGTGCCGGAAATTCAAATCATTTCGAACCCGAACCGCAACTGGATAATTACTGATTTGTGATTTCAGAACGTGTTTTTTTTTTTTTTTTTCAAATTTTCCTAAATCCAAATTATAAACGAATTCTCCGTTAATCTTCATGCGTTTGCCGATAAGGGAGCGTAACTTATGCTAAGACAATGGTCATTTTGATCCAATGTTAAAGATATCGATGATTCAACAAAAAAAGATGTATTAAAAATAGCGTTACCAGTAATATTAAAATACTGGCGCTCCCGTTTTCGCTGCGCAGTCTCTAAAGATTTAGTACAGGGGTCGGCAACCTTTTGTCGGTCCCGGGCCAAAATTAGGGGTTCCAAGTCATTGGCGGGCCGCACATATTTTTAGAAAGTCGGATGATACGATCGGATGATACTTTTTATGACAAAAATCAAGCAGTGATACATCTCTCGATTGCATTGCATCTCAAAAAATTTCATTTGAATATTTTCGGCGCCATTGAACCCTTTGCACTTAGCATCCACTTGTCTGCGTTTTGTTGCCATTTGTCTAATTATGAGTACTGTAATTGTGAATTATATACTTGTTAGGTTATAATATATATAATTTAGTCTACACGTGTCTCACAATAAATTCTGTTACGTGAAGAATATAATCGTCAAAACATATGTTTTGTTACTATAATTCAGTGAAGCGTCGCGGTTACATTACTTCGCGGGCCGTAGGTTGCAGACTTCAAGCCAACCATACACTAAATGGCCTTCGCGGGCCGCACGAAGTTCTCTGGCGGGCCGCATGCGCTCACGGGCTCGTCACCTCTGTTCTAAAAAAAGATGAACAAATGTCGAATCCTGCTTTTATTGCATAGTGAGGATAGAATAACGAGTTCCAAAATGACATAGGTAGGCTTTCGTTCCTCCGCCACCGCTGAATCGCATGGAAATAATTTATTCGGCCGACAAGCAACAATCTATGTATCATCACAAATGAGTTGGAAAATAGCGCTTTATTAAATGAAATATAGTGTTCCGCAAATTACTTAAAATTGCATTCAAACGCAAATTACCACAAAACTGATGAATTTTCCATCAACAAGAATAATCTGGCTGAGATCAACAGCTTCCTGAAACATTTTTATTTTAATAAAGTTGTATTGGCAGGCAGTACAGTATAACATGCTCGAAACTAATGAAGCATCGTGCAGCACAATGATCACAGGGACATTGTAGGAACAATGTTGAAATATAAAAACATTAACAAAGGAACACGATAATGCATTGGCAATGAAAGCCAGAGAAAGGTGCTTCCAATCCTCTCAACAGCCCAGGCATGCCAATGAACTGATCTGAGATTTAAATGCCCTGTGAAAGATCATAACATGATGTATCACTGCACCACTTCTATCAAAGTTTGAAAGCAATGTTGTAACTGCAATTATTTCTGAACACTGATAATTAGTTGGAAATGAGCAAATGGTTGATATTGAAGCAGAATTATTAGATCAAATGCCGATTCTAACATTGTACTATAGTTAGACCTACCATATGTCCCGGTTTGGCAGGGACAGTCGCGGTTTAAACGTGTCTCCGTGTCCCGGTTAGCAAAATGTCCCGGAATTTTACTTTAGTGAAATTTTCAAAATTAACTCCAACCTGATGCATAATTATGAAATAATTCTGTCCCAAAAGGCATAACTTTGCTTTAACTCGAGGCTTATTTTAATATCTTAATTCTTTTAGCTTATTAGGTTGAGTAAAATATCGCGCATAGCTTGAGAAATCCTTTAGTTAGGGGATAATGAGTGACATTTATTGCCTCATTATTCTATTTACTTCAATGAAACTACAGCAATTGCTGCTTTAGAAGTCATTTTAGGTATGCTTGGAGTTGGAGAAGGCATAATAACTTTCATTTGGTTTTGGTTTGACTCATATTATGCTGAAAGTAATCTAGAACTTGAGATTCTGTAGAGTAATGTAGTAGGCTAACAAACAGTACGGTGAATAGGTTCTCCTCACATATAGGCGCTAACTAAAGTGGTTTAGAAAGGCTACTTTGATTAGCCTATACCTTCGGCCTTTCGTCCAGTTATTTCATTTATTTGAGTTTGTCCCGGATTATGCCCAAGAAATTATGGTAAGTCTAACTATAGTACACATTCTCAATGTTGTTCACATTGACTAATATTATGCAGTCTGTATTCACAGCTCATTTTGGTCTGATCAAAGTGATCAATTGGATATTTAAATAATATCAACCAGGTTTTGGACTTCTTCTTTAAATCTGTTGCGCTTAAATCGTTGCATGACCAGTCGTTCTTCAAATTTTTCTAGAGATTCCCTGTATACAGCACGCAATGCTGGTTCAAGTTTTGTAAGCTTGGGAAGATCATGTAAGCTGATTGAAAGATTATCAAAAGCGCACGCCATCTTGTCTTTGTATTCAGAAGGAAGATTCAAGACAGGAAGCATTGGCAAAATAGGACTAAAGTGGGTCAATAAAGTGAATTTGGCATTAGTAGCTTCAGCAGTATCTATTACTCCACTCAAATAACTGTGTTTGCGAATTCTTGCATCCATTTCCCAATCATCGTGTACATATAAGCAGTCATGGATTAAAAGGTCTACGTTCTTTCCTTGTTGAATAACATGCCTTGCCATTGGCAAAGTGTCAGATGTATACAAAATCTTCTTTCCACATTGAGTAACAATACTAATACCATAGGTTTGAATACTATGATTAACTGGTATTGGCATTAGGTGTTTCACACCAACAGTTTTTTGTACATTTATTAAAAAATTCAAATCCAATTTGGATTTGTTCCAGACATCTTCTACAGCAAAAAATTCTGTATTTTCATAGATATTTGGTTCATATTCTCTTGAATATTCCTCGAAAAATAATCCCAAATGAAGCGGGGTTAGACAAATCACTTTTTCTGATATGTTCCGTTTTTGCCTGACTCTCACTATTTTATCCAACAAGGTGAAAAATCCTGAAACATGATCCAAATGCTTGTGGGAAATAAATATGAGCTTGATAGTTGATAAAACATCTTCCGTTTTGTCACCAAAATTGACATAAAGTTGCATAAGTGTGTGCACACCAGAGTCGAGGATGATGGAACAATCCTTATTGATCATAAATAAAAATGCCGGTTGACAACGTTTCTCATGATCTTTCATTGACCCAGAACCTAACACCACAATACGAGGAAAGTAGTGTTCGTCACCAATATCCCTCAAAATGCCAATTTCCTGCTGAACTTTTCGGATGACATCATTCTCAGGCTTGAATACCTCCTCAACTTCAGTAGAAATTTCCTTGAATTTTTCTTCACAAATAACATCATCAAATTTAAAGTTCCCATTTCCATATTGCATAGTAAATCTTAATCCATATCTTGCCTCCAGCATTTCAATATTATCTTGCTTCTGGCGGGCAAAGTACTTCTGTTGTACAGAAGGAAACATCTGACTTGAAATTTTATTGAAAGTTAAAATCTGCTCACACTTAGTACCGTCATAATAAGGCTTGTTTTTTTCACTAAGAATTATATGATTACAAGATTGACCAAACTTTTTGATCCAGTTTTGATATTCTTGAGATGTGAGAATATTTTCAGGAGTTATATGTGCGACTAACGATGGAGTCATGCTTCCAGTCGTTGCGAAATAATTTTCCAATTCAAGATTTTCAGATAAACTTTTAAAATGTTCTGGGGTTGGACAGTCAATCAAGATAATTATGGGTGTGTAAGGTTTCATTGGCTTAGATACTTTCTCTAGTTCAACATTTACTAAATTGTCTATATCTGTTACAGATTGCCGTACCCTGTTGTATTCCTCAACGTTGACGACCATAGGAAAATTCTTGATTTGACAAATATAACATGAAGTAGGATGGCGAAAATGAACATCTGTATCTTCACCAGCAAATTCAGGATTCAGGAATATTTTTTTAACATGAATATTATCATCAGTAAATTCTGATTCTTTTTCATAAATCGGTACCCTTGCAAAAAAACGTTCTCTTATTAAAGGAGAAAGAAGATATGAGTATAACTTTCGTATAGATTTATCAAGTCCTTTTGGGCCGTAACATGGTAGAGTTCCAGCATCATAAAGATTATTCACCTTCTTTGTGGAAAGAATGGGAGTAATGGCACCACCTTGGGCCTGGTATGAGCATCTTGTAAAAAATATAGCAGAAAGATGTTGAAATTTCCGACGAGCAACTTCTGCAGTTGTAGGATTCAGATTAAAAGTGTATAATGATTGCACAGATTTTGAACCGAAAATTGATAAGAACATAGATGGAAATCCCAGAGTTAATCCTGTGTCCGTAAATTCAAGGCTTGCCTGTGAAATTTTTCCTTTAGTTGCTATTCCTTTTGGGTCTTGTTGTTGTGAGGTTCGTATTTTGTTGCTTTCGAGTATTGCTTTATAGGCATGTTTTAATTTACGGTGCTTAGTCATTTTCCTTATAGAATTGAAGTGTATATACTGATATATGAATAAATAAACAATTGAGAGATTCAGATTGCAGTAAGCAGAGTATAGATGAGGAATAATAAAAATGTTATGCGCCACTGGTGCGCTCCACCCGCGCTTTTTCTTGTCCGTTGGTTAGCGGAGCAGTAATAATACAATTATTGATTCCAAAGAAAAATCCATTATTTTCACGATGAATGGGAGGTGGATATATTTATACCACCATGAAAACAGCCTGCGTGTGTCTCATTAGTGGGGCGATTTTAGCGACGGCAAAGCGGAAAGATATTTCACATCTTGTCACGTAATCTTCCACAGCACAGTACGGACAGAAAAAGCTTGCGATTCAAATCATACAGTAATCCTATTTTACGAGACCATCGTTTGTTTCAACCTATCCTTTCGAATCAACATTTTTGACATAGAATTGAAGTGTATATACTGATATATGAATAAATAAACAATTGAGAGATTCAGATTGCAGTAAGCAGAGTATAGATGAGGAATAATAAAAATGTTATGCGCCACTGTATTGATATCTCTATTATTCAGGTTCAAAATTACATTGCGCCTATTATACCGTATCATCCATGATAAAATCAACTATTGCATGTGTTGTGCAGTGACCATTTCAAACCAAACTGGCCATTATTTAGAAATGAATATTTATTTAAAAAATAAATTTTTTTCAACAATAAGATGGGATAAAATGGTGCGTAACGTTGGTGATCTGGCAGTCTGGGGTGAAAAGTCGGTTAGTCTGAAAAATCAGAAAGTGCCTAAATGCTTTCTCTATATGTTATTATTCAAAAATATGGTCAGACAATCAAATATGTACAATATGGTCCTTCATACAGGCAGTTGTGCAAGGAGGGTGGGTGGGTGTGGTAACAGGGATAAGGGTGGAGTGTACAAAACTGTTTGTACAAAGGAGTTTGTTAGACAAAACAACATCTATAAATAGAGACACAACACAACATGAAACACACTGCATATGAATATAGTAATAAAAAAAATTAAGAATTTGGATGAATGTACAACACCATTGAGTGATGATACCACATACTATAAAACGCGGGAATGGTCAAGTTTAAAGGGTGTGTACATATATGGTATGCACCACTCAAGGGCGATAGTGTTATAAGTGGTTTATGGCTGTTCTGGCCAAAATGTGACCCTACAGGTTTTGGAGAAATATGATGAAGTAATGTATCAAATTACTCACTATTGTAAGGTTTTTTTTGAAATTCTGGATTCAGCCAAAAACGATGAAGTTTCCAAAAAATTTAATAAAAAGCATTTCCACAAAACCTATTATGGGTCTCATGTAGTTTCATACCTAACATACTTCTAGTGGGCCTAGCATAACAATTTTCACGTCTCAATCCTAACCCTCACCTGACCACACCATCTGAAAATTATGTCACTACGACGTCACAGTGACGTAATAGAGCCCTTCAAACTATGCAAACTGTCATCCAAGACGCGCAGACGAGAACCCGAAATCGAAAAGCCATTTTTCTCGTTGCAACGCTCCCGATAGGAGAGAGATCGCTGACATTAGTCAGTTCAGGTATAGCAGGGGTCACCAACGCGTTGCCCGCGGGCACCAAGTCGCCCGCGAAGACCATATGAGTCGCCCGCAGGTCTGTTCCAAACTAAGCTCAATAACGGCTCTTATAAGTAAGCTACATCAATTAAATTTTGTCCTGCTATTTTAGTATAAATCACACTTATATGGGAACTAGAAATGACACTATATTTATTATTGTAACCATCAACCTTATTTTTATTTGACCTCAGTAATGTGACGGGTCAATTAACACTCTTCCAATTATGACATCACACTGAGATCACTTTCCACGAACCCGCGCTTTTTCTTGTCCGTTGGTTAGCGGAGCAGTAATAATACAATTATTGATTCCAAAGAAAAATCCATTATTTTCACGATGAATGGGAGGTGGATATATTTATACCACCATGAAAACAGCCTGCGTGTGTCTCATTAGTGGGGCGATTTTAGCGACGGCAAAGCGGAAAGATATTTCACATCTTGTCACGTAATCTTCCACAGCACAGTACGGACAGAAAAAGCTTGCGATTCAAATCATACAGTAATCCTATTTTACGAGACCATCGTTTGTTTCAACCTATCCTTTCGAATCAACATTTTTGACATAAACTCAGGATAGGAGGAGATTTACATATTTCTCCCGGGGGAGAAGATAGCCGTTAGGACGGATCAATCATATGACAACCACGGCTTCTCGCCGGTTACCATTCGATGTCGGGTATAGTTAGTTATTTGTTTCCGGAAGCCTGGACTTCTGGACTTGATGGCGAAGGAAGCCTTAACCGAACAGCGGTTACGTGAACCACACTACGGCGGCGAGGAGTCCAGCAATCCTTTCGCACATAACTATCCCCGCATGGGATTCTAACCTGCGAACCTCACGCTTAACATGATTGTCCATAGCGCCGCGACTCACTCCACCTGGAACACGCCTCACTGATGAAAATCTGCAAGACTCGCTCAGAGTTACAGTGTCAAGTTACTCGTCGGAGTATAATACTCTGCAACATTTGATAGTACAACTGTTAAGTTCATTTCATCTTAGACTTGTGCAGAGTGTTGAAAATCAATTTAAAAACACTCAGTTTTGAAATACAAGTGTTATTGATAGAAATTTATTTGCAACGTTGTGATAATCGTTTGATTTCCTGAAGAATCCTAAAGTTTATTAGTGTCTATACTTCACTAAATACCAGTAATTATATCAATAATTGAAGCTCAATCGAGCAACTGATTTTTTTAGAAGTGTAAATTGAACTGGTAGCCCGCAGCTTAATCTGTACCCAAAAAGTAGCCCTTGGCTTCGAAAAGGTTGGTGACCCCTGAGGTATAGTATAGTACCACAAGTACTTCCAGTGGGTGTAGCATAGCCACCTGACTATGCCATCCACAAATTACCCACTAGGACGTCACCATCACGTGATATGGCTTGCCAAAGTATAATTACAATCGCCCGAAATGGCATCTGCGCCGCCGATAACGAACTCGCTAACGCCGACGATCTCTCTACTATGGTGATCGTTGTGACGAAAAAACGAGAGAACTAGCTTGCTCGATTTCGGGTGATCGTCTGCGCGTTTTGGACGACCACGACCATCCTAATACTTTGGTGGGTCTTATTCATCCTCATACTTTGGTGGGTCTTATTACGCCACTGTGACGTCCAAATGACGTAATTTTTTGGTGACGTAGTCAGGTGGGGGTTAGGATTAACATACAGACATATGCAAAAATTGTTGAGCTAGGCCAACTAGAAGTGCATGTGGTACTAAACTATACGGTACTGTACCAGACCGTAATATGTTAGATGACGATATAACCTAGAGCAGGGCTACTCAACTATTTTTACTGAAGATCCGCATACTGGCATAAAAAACTTCAAAATTATTTAGGTTCGGTGTTCCCAGAAATTATATTTCGGCATCCTCAAACGGCGATCGTACGTGTATTTGACAAGCTCTATGACGTGATTGTGACGTAATTTTTGGATGGCGTAGTCACTAGTCAGGTGGGGGTTAGAATTGACATGTCAAAAAAATGGTATGCTACGCCCACTAGAAGTATGTTAGGTACGAAACTACACGAGAACCCAATATCGAACACCGCACCGGTATGATTTTCACTGCTCCTCTTTCTGTCTTTCCCCAGGTTACCACCAGTGAGCATGGCACGCTCATGCCGTAATGGACGTTTCCTCGACCCTTGACACCTGAAAAATTCTTTCTTCACTTCAAGCCATGACCTCTGTTGTAGTCTAATTTATTTATTTATATTTATTTATTGTTTCGTATTTTGAAAAAAAAAATGTGTCTGATCCAGTGTTCACTATTAGCGCACTTTTTTGCGAAAATTGTGAAGCACTTTCGCAACTTTTTTTAGGGACTGCGAAATAGCACTTTTTTTCACGATTTTGAAGAGAAATATCACTTTTTTTCCGATTTTGAATGGAATAAAAATTCAAAGTTAACAAATATTTTCGAGTATTAAGTTGACAAATAAGTAACATACTAGTACTTTTGTAACTCAATTCTGCATATCATAACGATATTTACCGGAATTCTAACCTATGAGATGCAGACATAGGAGATAAAGCTTTTGCATTAACGGCAAAATTCTTGTTTATAATATGATTATTATAAAAGCACACCGATTCCGCTTCTCCGGCAAAAAACGCTCCCGGGGCGTTTCTTTGAACAAGAGTGGTCATGTGACTATCAATGATATCATGAATTCAAAATGACTATAAAAGTGTTAGTAACGTGTTATAGTCACTTTGAATGAATTGTGACCAAACTGCACGATTTTCAAATCAGACGAAACTTTTAGCAGCATGTCACAGATTTGCAAAATCAACAAATTCACAAAATACCATTAAGTGCCATTCTATTGTAATCACACTGTTGAAAGGACGTGGCATTTTCCGGAATTTTGCGATATTTACACAACTATTTCTCATTGATATGCGAGGACGGGTGGGCAAAATTCAATATTTTTTTGAATCGAATACTTTTAAGAAGTACCGAATAAACGTGGTGGAAACATTAAAAAATCGGCAAAAAAGCCTTTTTACTGGTTAATTCCGTTGTAATCGCTAATTGTTCTTGTCACCGATCGTTTTGGCGGCGATATCCAGGTTTTGGGTAATCTATATTCCCGCCCTCTCTTTTTTACAAATATGAATTCTTGTGGGTCGGCGGACACCGAAGTTTTATATTTCGGGTTTACCCGTTCGTTCACATCGGCAACAGCTGTTGAAGACATTGAGGACTCAAATTAACATTTGCGTTGGCTTTAATATTATCTATCAAGATTTGTAAATTTACCGTCCTAATTTTATGCGAATGGTAATATTATTGTCCATACCGTGATGCAGATATTTATTAAGACTATAATTAACTTTCTCATGTATTTCAATGATGATAAACTTCGCAAATCTGAAATCGTGCCAATCC